CATAACTAGGTACAGAGTTTTGCACTTGCACACACACACACACACACACACACACACACACACACACACACATCTGAGGTCTCTAATCTAAGTGGAATCTCCAATTGTATATATCCGTTACGTCATGCACGAAAGACACTTTTATCAAGTCGCGCTCTTAGGCTAGAATGATAGGGTTCTGATCCTGTATTTTGCGAGAATGGAGTTGCAAACTACACATCACCGACACAGATGTAACAGATGTTCTACCCAATATGTTAAAGGCTTGAGACGACCTCATCCGTATTTCTTTTCAGTTTGACACTCAACGACTGTAAGTGTGTGGATCTTTGAATCCCATTTTCTCAAAACTATGCATCATGGATTTAGAACCTGGCCATTTTAAGGGCACGATAATAAGCAGGACTTCAGTAGACCCTTTATTACAGTGTTGAAGTATACTAGACATAATAACACAATATGCGACCAGCAACGAGCAAAGACAATATTTCAGCACATTTCGAAAAATCATATTATAAAATAACAAATCATAAATTATACGAGTCTGAATATTTCATAGCATGCATGTTCTTGCATGGCTTTTAAAGTTTCAAGTAAAGAAAAAAATTGAAATGCTTGTTGGAATAAATGAAGGCATGCACCTAAAGAGCACATCTACAAACATTGTTGAATGACCATTATAGATGTCATTAATGTGTCAACTTATTGAGTTTCAGCTCTTATGATGTACTTTTTAAATGAGCCAAAACGTACTTATTTTCACAGATTTTTTTCAGTTAAGTTTTCTCATTCTGAAACTTTAAAAAAGCAGGCAACAAAATGCATAGTATGGAATACGAAAATGTATGTCTCTGATATGTGTATAATATTGTGCAGCAACATTGGCTTTGGGCTCAAAGAGTAAACATTGAGCAAAATCAACGCCCACTTACATTAGCGTGGGCACTGGTCCAGACTCTCTTTTTCATGTCAAAGAGTGCGCATTTCATATACGACATGCGCATGCGTGCTGTCGTTTTGATCACAGGCTTCTGCTTGCTGTCCGCATCCCGGCGCCACCGTTTGTTGTTCCAATCCCTAGACACCACACGCACAACCACTGCATAGGCTGTTCGAGGGTTCTGGTCCAACTCCGACTGGAGACGAAGAGAGAGGAGGAGGTAGAGTGGGAGTGACTTGGGGGATGGGGGTGTTTGTGTATATATAT